GAGCCTACTTCAAATGGAAATTCTTAGCCACTCAAAAGCATTCGACAGACCTGGTACCACTGATAATATTGTATGCGTCGAATCTAACACTGTATGTTCGCCGTTCAGTGCCCGGCCCAGTGTATACAATGTGTTGCGGTACATATGTAAATTTTGCCTTCCAGTCAGCACTTTGCTGTCAACGGCTGGTTGTTTTCTTTCTTGATTCATATACGATAAGGCTACATTGAGAGTGCGTCCACGTGCGTTTCAGCGGTCTCACGTCATGTCTCGTTCCACCCCCGCGCCTAGACTCTGTTATATGTTCCTTGGGGAAAATCCTCGCGCCAGCTGGAAACACCTGATATAGACGGCTGCCGCTACCGTATTGTACCAGCAGCTTTCATGAATCCGCCGTACGGAAGCTTACACATAGCAGATGAATGAGGGGCCTAGAGATCGGGACGTAAATTGCGGACCGGCTAGCAGGCCATTTTTGAGTCCGCAAGGGTTGAAAGCCGACGGTCTAGTACCACGATATGCTGAAATGATTTCTGATCTCAGCAGCCACTTAGAGCTCGTAATTCGCAGTTATAAAATTTGATCGAAGACACTGTTGGTTTCATAATGCCCGGGTCAATAGTCACGGCGACAGCCTGCAGTTCAATGCGAAGATCAAGCTTGGCGCGGGGAGCACTGTTACACACTAAAACAGAAGAACTAGCAGGGGCAATGGCGTGCGATCTCACGCAATTTTTAAGCATACGATATCATTTGATCACTTGATCAGTATCAGGCGATAACTTCGTTTCCTGCAAGAATGCTATCACCGGTTTTGTTGCGGAAGAAAAGCCGTTGCGGATCGGTCACATTGGCTCCAAGACCACGAAGGCTACAATGCAAGATTGAGCATGACGCGGTGGCTGCCAGTCGTTAGCAGGGAAATGTATAGGTTCGGAAAATGGAACTCGGCTCGGGCCCTTGGTCCGAACGGCTGCTCGGGTCCTTTCCGACGCGCAGTCTCGGTAGGTCCGGACCGAAACTTGGGTCCGACGCTTGGGCCCCCACCATCAGTGGGAGATACTGGCTACAGCTGGGCCGGTTTTCACCACAACCCTGGGCGGAAATTATATCTCGTTCGGAGTACGTACGTCAGGGACCTGCGGCGGTGGGGTCGGAGCGGGCCCATTGCACCCACCGCGGAGGCGTAACCACCAGTGGATGAGTCGCTGAAAGTGGCGGAGCACAGGGTCCCGGGTGCTCAGAACGGCGGCGCGTCACCACACACCCAAGTCCAAAACATGAGCTCGGTTCACAAGCTTGTTCCTAGCAGGCGATGTAACAGGGGCATGAGAGCCAACCAATACGCTCTCTCCGGCACAACGGGTGATTCCAGTCGCCTTTCAAGTGTTTAAAAGGGCCAGCCCGCCTCCTACTGCAGGCCGCTCAGGAGGCTCCTTTCGCCGGCAAGCCATAGTGGTGGAGGAGGCCACCCAGCTGTCATTGGGCCGTTGCTCGGGAGCGAGCGGTGGAGAAGGCCGCCCAGCTGCCACTGGGCCGTCGCTCGGGAGCGAGCGGTGGAGCAGGCTTCCCGGCTGCCGCTGGGCCGTCGCTCTGGAGCGAGCGTTGGAGGAGGCTGCCCGGCTGCCATTGGGCCATCGCTCGAAAGAGGTAGCGAAGCGGGGCGCAGAATGCGCCGAGGGAGCCTGCAAACCCAGAACACGCTGCACCAGGGGAGCCTGCAAACCCAGGCCACGTTGTGCCAGGGTTCATCCTTTTCCTCCGGTACTCCAGAAGGAGACGGAGAGGATCTCCCTGGGGGACCAACCAGTCGGAGAGGCCCCAGGCCTTGGAGACAGACGGAGTTTCACCGCGCTCCAGATGGCAGCCGCGTGCTGACCCGCCAACTTTTTTCCACGGGTGGAAGCCCCGGGGCCAGTTCGGAAGTGATTAGTTTGATAAAATAACCGACAATCGTGCTTTCAAGGCGTCAAGGTCATACGATGACAGCACCTAACCAGCAGCGGGTTGTGTGACTCTGGGCCTCACGGAGGAAGCAAGAACATCACGGTAGCTCTTTGTTATATAAGATACCTTGTGCCAGCATCGAGCGTCTCCGGGTGAAATTCCTTCTCTCACATTCATTTCCGTAACTTATTGTTGTGCAAAAGACATCCGACGCTTCCTAAAGGCAGCAGCATGGCCCTCACCACACTTGGCGTATTTCGGGTGCTTAGGGATGCTGTCTCGAGACTGGTGCCTGAGGATGCATGCCTGGTGGACTGAAGGCTTCTCTGACGCCTATTAGTTTTGTGACCGAAGTCTTGTCATCGGAAGCAAGAGACTGGACCTATAACGGACTGGGATGTAGAGCCTGACTGGAACACGACAACCAACTGACTCCTTTGGCGGCAGAGCAGGGACGTTGAAAGCTCGTGCGTTGGCATCTGTATGGATGGGTCGGCCGCTCTCCCTCCCCCCTACTGATGCGTCTAGCGAAGATCACTAAGATCTTTGATCTGAAGGTCCGTGCCTCTCTAGTTCCTCCCCGACCTCTTCAGACACTCGTTGGAATTGCCAGCACAGTCCTAGCACTTTTCGAAGAACTATAGATAAATGTGGTTTCATGGTGATAGTCGCGATGACGATGGCCTTGCTTCTCAAGCGCTAGGTCAGCTCCTTGGCAACTAATAAACGTTTGGCATCTCAGTGGCTCGGGCAATAGACTCCGATGTAACAGTCAGCGCTCCTACGAGCCCTCTTGGGATTGCCACATTTAGGGAACGCCTTCTCACGCTGGAATGAAGTCAGGTTGAGTAGTGGCGGCTTCTCATGGGCGGCTTTGCACCGAAGTCAAACTTGGGACACTGAACAGTCAGGTACTGAGGCGTTAGTGCGTCAGATCAGGTTAAAATCTGCGCAGGGGTGCGATGCTCAGCAGGTGGCTCAAACACTGGCAGTCCTAGCCTGGTCTCCTGCGTGGGCTTTGATGTTCGCGTCGGGAAAGTCGTTAGAGTGGTCGGTTGAGAGATTATCCATGCGCAAAGATTTACGCCAGCACCGGGGCCTCCCATCCACCTCGGAGCCCAGCAGGGGACGGCCCAACAGCCCTTCGAGAGGCAGTCGCCGCCAAAGCTATCCGGTTGCTGTGCGGGGTGAACGACACCTCCAACACGGTCAGGTGCAACAGGGAGACCCTTCGTCCCTTCCACCAAACATGGACCGTGAGCAAGGGGGACGCAGACAAAACGAGGGCGAGGTGTGGCGAGAGGGCGGGATGCGGGTGACAGGAAGGGGCTGGGCGGGACAAGGAGCAGGAGCTTGCGCACCGGTAGGGTCGTTAGGCCTTGAAATAAACAGCTTGCGCTGTCTACCAGTTAGCGGATGTGCGTATGTGCGTGCATGTGTGCGCGTGCGCGTCTGTCCGTGCGTGCGTACGTGCGTGCGTGTGCATGCGTGTCCGTGCGTGCGAGCGTGTCTGTTTCTTCTCACTGGTGCTTCGTGACGACTCGGCTTTGGCACATTATCTGGCTGATGGTGCGACCCGCCCTCAGGCGGACAGGACCATGGCGCCGTCGCTACGGGCGTCCGATACTGAGCCTGGCGACTGGCGCGGTCCGCACGCCGGCCGGCTGCCAACGCCGGCGGCGGGCGTCATTGTCTTGGTATAACCTTGGATTCATGGAGGTGTGGATTTTTTCACGGGAAATTTCATACACTGTGTGCTGTTTTTCGTGTTTAGAGCATTTGGGTACTGGAGCAATTAAGCTTCTAAAGACCCGAGGCACGAATGTCTGATAAGGGTCATATTTTCAGTGTCTGTGGCATGCACAATGTCATTAACCCATAACGCGGCTGCTCGATGCGCTGTTTCCCAGCCAGTGTATGGTGGAATAAAGGAGCACATGATATCAACTTCAGGTAATTAACCATCCCCCAGACTAAGACTAGAAACCCTGGGTCTCCAGGCATACATTTCCAAATGACGCGTACAACTTTCGTACAACGCACGACATACAGGGGATAAAGAGGAAATACCCGTTAGGTCATTGTAGTCATCGCTTTACCTCAGCCGCCCTCAGACCACCGGTTATGTCAAACAGAGCATAAACAATCTGCAGGCTGATGACAGTACAGCAAATAGGACGCCATCCCTCATTACGTTTGCCAGCACATGATCAATTACTTCTCTTCCGACGCACATTTGCGCACGCTAGCGGCAAGCGTGCGAGCACAGCTGCTGTGCTGGCCCACCGTGCCTCTGCGGCCTCCAGCATCTACCGTAACAAAATACATCCTCTAACATACGTCCTGTTCACGACCGCAGTGGCTGGTAGAGGACGGAGACCTTCACAACCGCGGCCTTGAACTCCAGGTATGGAAGACGGTTCCTTTTCAGCTATTTGGTCGCATGCGTCTACTGGAGGGCGCCGCCGAACTCCCGACGTTGGCGTCTGGCCGCGGGCTGGTGCTGTCAAGGACGCCGGCACCATCGCTGGTGTAGCGAGGAATGGGAGAAGGCTTGACAACGTCCGTGGGGGAATCGGCAATAGTTTTACAGTGTTGACGGAGTCCGACATTCGGGACGAAGACGTTCATCAGTACACCAGTGACCGCGCTGGCGCTGTGGTGAGTTCGTTGGCGTGGTGACGAACAAACAGAGCAGGTAGAACCACATACGGTACATCGTGAGACACCATGTACGTGCGACGCGAGAAATCGGAACAGTTAAACCACCCCTGCATAAAAAGCGTACAACAAATCCACAGACGCATGACCACTGGGTATCACCATCTGTGAGGAGGCTAACAATGGTTTGCTTTTTCAAGTCAGTCCGAACAAGGAACAGGAGGCCATTAAAACCTGCATGCACGCACATCATGCATATATTCTTGTTTACGTATCTCTGTTTACAGCGCGGCCATACACATTCTCAGCGCGCCTGACGCGGGTGGCCCATCCGCCGCCGCTGCCGCCGCCGCCCATCCTTCCGCTGGGCCACGCTAAAACGGCGGCGGTGGCGGCGGCGACGGCCATTACGTGTGAGAGCCGGGAGGGAACGCGCTGCGGACGGACGTCAGAGACGCGGCTCGGGACACGGGCGGACCCGGCACGCGCCATGCTGAGCCTGCTGCTGTTCGCCGCGCTCCTGGTGGCCGCGCTGGTGCGCGTCTTCCTCGAGAGCAGGAAGAACTACCCGCCGGGTGAGTGGCGCCGGCGCTCTCGCGCCAGGAAGCCGACCACACAGTCGGCGATTGTTGAGACGGGCCCAGAGGCTCCCCGTTCATGACTAGCAGCTTCCATGGCTCATATGCCAATGCTTGCTTTTTTCGGCTTTACGTGACGACACGTCAAAGTTTCGAGCGATTTTCCCAGGTGATCCCTTGACAAACCCCCCGGGTGGTTGGTTGAATACGACGCTATCGGGTGGGGTCAATTTTACTCCCTCCCCCTGTAGTATATAAGAGTTTGGAGGCCATATGCACGGTGTATGAAGGACCCTATGCAAACTCCTTTGAATACCTGTTTTTTACAGGCCTAGGTCATTGTTGAGGTCTACGCTTTGCCGTTATAGGTTTTCGACATTTTTGTCAATTGAGGTCAAACAAGATTAAATTCCAAATCATTGTAGGATGTGGCCTCGGGCGTTCTAACGTAACCAGATATAGCTCAGATACATCTTCAAGTAGGAAGTCAGTCAGGGTTGTTTCAGCCCAGTCTCCTCCCGTAGTCTCTATAGCGTCAAAGTGAAAAGAAATGGAGATCGTGCTGGTATTTGAATCTAAAGTAAGCGCCGAGAAATACCATTGAAAACAGCTTCTTTGAGGCAAAAAGCTTATCAAGATCATGTTAGGTCAGTGAACTTCTTCGGCATTCAAAATCAATGCAAGGAATTTTGCCACGTCTTGGTGATTGAGGAATTAAAAATAACCGCAAATATCTAGCCCATTAAACACATTGTAAAGCCATGAAGCTAATTAGTTTTGACCTGACCTTGCGTCTATAACTGACCCAAGGTGAATGTAATTAGTTATAATCCTTATTTTGATTGTGTAATCGTACAAAAACAATGAAAATCGTGTGTCATTTCGTCTGCAACTCTGTTGTCGCATTACATTAAATGCTACCCCTAGCACTGTCTCTGCTGGTGTGTATGGCCTGATTTTGATCCGCTACATGCCAGCAGCCTGCAAAGATATGCTATGTTTTGTTTTCACAGGATCTTCTATGAAATTGTCTTTAGGTGTAACCACGCCGCACCGTTTGGAAGTTGTTTTATAAACCGTAGAAAGAGTCAACTTAACTCCCACCGAGCTCAGAGATGCATGTTAGCAGAACAAGATAAAAGTGCATGTTCTCGGAACATATACAACGTTGGGTAATTTTTCATTGCACTCATGTGTGCATGGAATTTATTTTTTTGGCATCCAGGTGAAGCCATCTGAATTCCTTTCCAATCACGACCGCCACATAACTCTTCATATTGTTGTGTGACGCATTAAATATTTATTGTTACATATCAGTTGCATAATCCGTATTTTGTCTGACCTTATGAGGAAAATGTAAGCATTTACCCCACGTCATTTCCGCGGCTTGCATTTCTTTCATCGTTGATCTAGTTCATGCCCTGCACTTCAGGGATATTTAACATTCGCCATCACGCGAATCGAGACAAAGCATTTCTGGGCTGTTCTGCAGGTCCGTTCAACATCCCGTTCCTGGGCAGCCTGCAGCAAGGAAGGCTCATAAACACCGTGGTGCACGATGAGATGAAGAAGTTAAGCGATCAGTACGGCAATCTCGTATTCCTCAAGATACTCATGGACCAGCCGGTGCTCATTATTCGAGGGTACGACCTGGTGAAGGTAAGCTCATGGAAGTCCGCATTCATTTCAAGGTCCTGCCTAGAAACAGCTTCATCTTACATGATCTCAGAACAAGCAGGAAACTCAGTTTGTAAAAAGCAGGGCTTCAATCAATATACCACGACCAAATGAAACGGTGTCATTGTTATGCTTATTCATGGGTCGTTAAACACTAGAACACGGCCCCATCGATAACACCTGTCCCTAGGTTGGGTGCGGCGCGCCTTGACCGGAGCGTCCGCCAGACATCCGTCGGAGAACGTCCGCAGGCTCGCGCCGGCGGGCCGTGGTACGTGATGCTGTATGGAAGCGTCTGTTACGCTCAAGTGGACCGCATTTTGTCCTATCACCACCGCTCATGGCCTAACGCGCGTCCGTCCGGGTCTTATGGGTCTTTTGGTATGTCTCTCGGTGGGGAAGGCGAGAAATGCAGTGGCCCGTGGGCAAAACACTCCGAAGTACATATGTTATCAACATTCGAGATTTATCGGCCCAGCTTTCACGTGGCCTTAATCTTGACCTTGAACGTCACACTCGCAGATCCGCGGAACTGCGTAGCTTGGGGAACTTGAAATAACAGACAGATTCAGGCTCATTGTCGCACTCAATGTCACTGCATGCGAATATCTCGTAACGCTTTGGAGACAAACATGGCAACATCTGTGGAATGATACGCTCGATGTTCAACGGTAATTGAGGCTCACATCGCTTCTCGGAATAAAGCAGCGTGTTTTTTAAGCCCAATACACAAGACTTTCTCGGACCGCCATATACCAATCAGTATGGGAAAACAGCGGCATTATATCATCTTGCCCTTGAAAAAAAATGAGTAGGATCTCATATCGACGCCGGCGTTTGCAGTGAGCCAGATGGTGCTGATCGATGATTGATGGGCGAGCCAGCTGAGCGTTCGACGGGTCAGCTGAGCATGGGGAATGGGGAATCATCGTTGCGGTAACAAGAAAAGGGATGGGTATAGGAGTAGGACTAGGGGAAGGGGTAGGGGTAGGGGTAGGGATAGGGTATGAGTAGGGGTATGAGTAGGTGTGGGAACGGGAGTAGGGGTTGGAATACGGATAAGCGTAGGGACAGCAATAGGAGTAGGAGTAGGTGTAGGAGTAGGGATAGGGGCAGGGAAGGGGGTAGGTTACGTTAAGTTAGATCAGATTAGCACGCGCCCGGGTGGTGGTTCAAATTGACACCCCCCTCCGAGGGTTTTTTGGAATGGTTACCGAACGACCCCGCGCAGCCGCACCAAAATTTGTGCAACTGTAGACAATTGAAAGGCGGGTCGTGTAGTATTAAAAAGATAGATGTATCTGGTAAGGTCGCTGACCTACGTCAGAGTCAGGCCATGGATTCAGCGAAGTCAATTTCTAGGGAATCGTTCAATCTGGTGCAACAACGGAGTGTTAGACGAAGCCATACATCTCAGAGATGCTTTCTCAGGGAACACAACAATTGAATGACCAAATCCCATTGACCTAGGATCAGTTATAAAGGTCAGGCCAAGATCAAGACCAGCCTGTTTTATTGCTCTAGGGCTGGGGGTATGGGGTAGTTTCTGGTGCCCGTTTCCAACTGACTCATAAAAGGAATCGCATTAACACCTTCATTGGACTCCTTAAAGATGAAAATATGTAATCGACCCGAAATGACTCAAGTCAAGATATATTTGTTAGGGGCATACAGCCTGGCGTAATCTTGGTCGATTATTCAAATACACGACTCAAAGCAGTCTGGTATGATTTTGATCACCATGACCTTCGAAAGGTAAAACAAGGTCACTGAGTCACTGAATAAGCATGTGAACTTTTACTTAGAACAGGTATCTAGGTTCTGGAGGTACTTTGGAAACCACCTTGGAGTGCGACCTTGTTTGGCCTAATTTGACCCAAAGGTCATGGCCTAGGAACCTCAAACTTTGAACTGAGCGAGTTTACGTACAGGCCAACACAACCTGGGAATGCGGTGTTTCTAGCCCACTTAGTTCCTGAGATCTCAACAGAGATAAATTAATCCCCACCCGGGAGGAAGGTATCCAACCGGCCACTCGGGCGTGTGTTATGGTAAGTTATAGGTGAGGTCAGGCTAGGTCAGGTAGGGTCATGTTAGGTTAGGTTTGGTTAGGAAAACCCCGGAAAATTGGTGGCTTTTTTAGGACAGAAACATCTTTGGTTATTACGGCGCTCAGTAAAAAATATTATGGTGTCATTGCACGTTATATATGGTGTAGTCCCGACAGCAACCGCTTGGTAGATGTATAGCGTATTACTGGTATTGTTTTGTCATAATTATCATGCAATAGTTTGGGGAAATTAGGCGTGGTATATTGCGGCAAGAGCGTGCAGATTGTAAAGCATATCTTATGTAATTACCCTTGAAAATTTTGCCTGTAGGTTTTTTCTTCAATCACGACCCGATGTTCTCCTTGAAATATTCCAATTTTTTTAATATTAATGCTGCGGATGAAATTGGCATTTGCGCTCATTTCCAAACGGTTACTGTTTTAAGAGGTGAACGTAGGACAGAGCGAGTATAATACCGAGACCGCTCGCACTTTGCTTTCTCAAACAGATTCTTTGGAAAACGATCGAAATCTGCAGAATTAAAACGCCATTTTCCGTTCCCCACCGGGACAGCTGTACCACCAAGGTGACGGGTAGCGATTGGCTCACCGCTCGGTGTGCTCTCTGCGGAAAGCTACATGACACGCATCAAATTCATGACGATGAACAGCATGAATGCCAAACCCTACATCTCCTGTAGATATGTTTATGACGCATTTGTGGACACTCAAAGTGAGCAACACTTCCTCTCTATGTGAGCCAAACTTGAGGACCACTCAGTGTACTGTTGCTTAGTTCAGTCTTGTGGAGTCCGCAGTCTCCGTATGGGCATTGACACTCGTAGACTATATTGATGCTTTTTGGGTTTAAGGATATGGTGGAGAAGTGGTTTTGCTACCTGAACCTGATCTCCTATGTGTACTTTATATGGAATATTCCATATTTGAAGGTATTGAAGCAAGCATCAGATGTGATGAACTAACCTTACCTCAAACTATTTGTATACTTTTAAGTGAAAGGCTGCTGCAGACGACTCAATTTTTCTACTGGATAGATATGCTCCTCAATACGTCATTGTTTGACTATGTCATTGTACCTTGCAAAACATTTATTGGGAGCCAGTGGACGGCTGCTATATCTGGAAGTTATGCTTGCTAACGCCAGATATGACTGACTCGATAATCATATTTTTCCTGACGTTGATCACCACACGAACTGTAAATGGCAGCACTTGAATAACGCTAGTTTAACGTCATGAATGTCTGTGTGACCTTGAAATAGTCTCCGCAACATCCTTGCGGGCGTGTAGCTCAGCAACTAGAAGGGCTTAGTTCTTAAGAACGGCTGGGCCGTGAAATGCACCGAATGATCTTCAAGATGATTATTGCTGTTCAACCCCCCCCCCCTCCCCCACACACACACAAATGTGGAACACTCTCTATAACTGTTGGTGCTCGTTCAAAACATCTCGTGGAGAATGTACTATATTTTATGATACTTTCCGGTCAGTCGGTCCTTAGGCCATGTGGATATGGCAGCCAGTGAACTGGCAACCGGTAAAATTTATCACTAGATAAGGTGTCTCATCGGGTAGAATGAGGGCTTAATGCAGCTTTTCTCATTGATATGTAATATGAGTTCCTTTAAAAATGAGGGCAATGCATTTCTACAACGCAGTCCATGTTGGAACTCGACAGACTTTTGTCATTCAAATACATGGCGAAGAGAAGCTACAATAATTGAGAATCATATAGATAAGACGGTAGTAGTAGCCTTATTCCTCGGAGAAAAACCTCGAGAATGGAGAAATAGACTTGCTGATATTTCGGCAACATGCCTTTATCGAAACAATGGTAGGAGCGAATTTAAAATTGCCTGCGGATGATCCTACTCGATTTTCTAGGCTTTTTTTAAAAAGCAAGTCACAGTTTTTACAGGACATCAACATTCCAGGGATTAAGCAAAGAGCGATTGCCAGCCATTACCGCGATGCAGAGCATATCTAAGATTTATAATTCACGAAAATACGTGTATATGCAAACGAATTCAAGCAAACAGGCATCACGCATCACGCTTCATTCACACATGCAAGCGAGTTGAAGTAAACAAGCATCACACATCGCGCATCAGTTGAACATGCAAGCGGTTTTAATTGATCAGGCATCGCACATCACGCGTCAGGCATCACTTGCACATGTAAACGACTTGAAGCTAGCACACATAACATATCAGGGCACATATCACGTGCGCATATGTATCACATCGTGTAAATTGCAACATATTTACGGTCAGACGGTACGGTACGGTACGGTTTGTCAGATCGAATGCCGGACCGTTTCAAGTGTAAAACAAATAATTCGCCACTGTAGTAGTTAGCCGTCATGTTGAGTCAAGGTTCTATAAAAACAGTCACTCTTTCACTGGCTAAGTAGAATATTCTGAAAGAAACAAATATATAGCAATGGCAGCCTAATTCGGTTACAAATTTGACCAGAAATAGCAGCTTATACAGTTCTGGTATTCCAGAGGAGGCATAACAAAACTCCATTGGCGCTGCTGGCAGCATAAGCATTTAGTCGGTTTACCGCTTGCCACTGTCGCTGAATAGTTGCATCCAAGTGTCCACTACCCTGTCGTTTATGTAATCATGTTGCGTGAATTGCGTCTTGAGGTGGCCAACAAACAAACAAAAGCTTTGTTTTTATATCCCTGCAATGCCATTATATTCTAATTCGCGATGAGGAGTTCATAAAGATAAGTTAAGTGGGCATTACAATATGATTTAGCCCACCCGCGCCCAGGGAAGTTGACTTCCCTATCGCTTTTCGATCACAGGTCAAAAATGAACTCTAACAGCGACACAAAATTTGCAGCACCTGTTCATCTGTCAGTTTGGCATCTTTTGTTAAAGTTTCAAGTGTTGATCTGCCA